TACTACATTTCCTAAAGAAAACAAAAACTGTGGTCACACCATAGCAATAGTGTCAACTTCTGCAATGAACCTAGCTGACACCATCTTTGTCATTTGTTCTCAGTTGCCACATAAAGAAAATGGGGGGTCAGGTTGCCATCATTCCCCCACCACAAAGGGCTTCTCAAGTGACTACTAGGCACCAAGCTCAAAAATAACCCACCAGTCCTGACAGGTGCATAACCCAGCAGCTCAAAGACAAGTTAAAGTCTGACCCATGGTTCAGAACCAACAGACAGGTATTAACCTATAGAGGAGACACCTCTCCTGCGTGAGCTGCACTGGCTGCCTGTGGCCTTCTGGGTGCGCTTCAAGGTGTTAGTAACAACCTTTAAAGCGCTCCATGGCAATGGACCTAGGTATTTGCAAGACCGCCTCCTACCAAATACCTCCCTTCAACCAGTCCGCTCCCACAGAGAGGGCCTCCTTAGGGTGCCGTCGGCCAGTCAATGCCGGCTGGCGACCCCCAGGGGGAGAGCCTTCTCTGTGGCAGCTCCTGCCCTCTGGAATGACCTACCCCCCGACCTACGTACAACTGCGGACCTGCGCCTTTTTCGCCGAGCCCTGAAAACCCATCTATTTCGTGCGGCCGGCCTGGTGTAGTCTTAATTAGGTTTTAGTATAGGTTTTTATATGGGGTATTTTAGAGCAGGCCTTTATTTATTTAATTTGATTTTAGAATAGATATTTATTGTGATTTTTATTATCGCCTGTTCACCGCCCTGAGTCCCGTAAGGGAGATAGGGCGGTATACAAATCTAAATAAACATAAACATAAACAAACATGAATTTGCATGGAAGAGATCCAAACTCTACTTTCCTAGCCCTCTCAGGATCCAAGCCCTACAATGGACCCATGATGCTAAGCAAGCTGGTCATTTTGGGTTCCTGAAAATCTTGCATCTGATGGGGAGGCAATTTTGGTGGCCAGGGATGAAGAAGGACATTGAAAGTTTGAACCAAAGCCCAAATTGTTGGAAATGTAATTATCGTCAAGGTACCTTCTTTCATGCTTGGTGGCTATGCCGTGAAGCGAAAAAATATTGGATTAAAATACAAGGGTGGCTACAAGACTTAACAAAATGTCAAATCGAATTAAATCTGGAAACATTTCTCTTGGGAATACTTAAAAAGAAATTTGATAAGAAAATAAGATATCTGATTTTACATATACTAACTGCGGCAAGAATTGCATTCACGCAATATTGGAAGGAACGCAATATACCACCAGAGGGGTTGATTATTCAGAAAATTTATGAATATGCCGAGATGGACAAACTCACCTTAGAATTAAAAGAAAAAGATGATTCGGAATTTTATGCGGTTTGGGAAAATTGGTATAATTGGATAGACAATAGAAACAAAAATTGGAAATATACATAAGGTTATTGTATAAATTAGGTTATTGTGGGTTAGATTGAATGTACATATTGTATATATTGTATAGAATGTAGATCCATAGTATATAAAAATGACATAGTCTGCTGAATATGTACTGTATAAAGGAAAATGTTAATAAAAATAAAAAAAAATAAAAAAAGAAAGTTTGTTAAGAGCTGTGCAACCTGTGCATCCATGAAAAAATGCCCCGGTAACCTCCCTGGATTATTACAATAAGTAGAAGACCTTTCCCAACCTTGGGAAGAGATAGCAATGGACTTTATTGTAGAACTTCCCAAGAAAAGTAGGAATACAATGATTTGGACTGTTATTGATTATTTTTCAAAGCAAGCTCATTTTGTAGCCTGACCTGGACTTCCTTCTGCCCAGAAATTTGCCAAGCTGTTCCTGAAGCACATCTACCAGCTCCATGGAGCCCCAAAAAGGATTATATCAGACAGGGAGGGGTTCAATTTACAACAAAATTCTGGAGGGAGTTCATGAAACTGATTGGGTTGACCCAAGGTCTTTCCTTGGCATTTCTTCTGAGTATGAATGGAGCTGCTGAACGAGCAAACACAATGGTGAAGCAGTACCTAAGATACTATGCCAACTATTAGCAGACTAACTGTGCAGACCTCCTGCCATTTGCTGAAGTGGCCTACAACAATACCGTGCATAGCAGTATTGGACTTACTCCTTTTAAAGTACCTACGGCAGGGAATTTGTTCCCATGCCTGAATATCCTCAAGAGCCCCCCTCCTCACAGACCTTGACCGAATGGATGATATCATTACAGAGCACTTGGCCAAATGTCAGGCAGGGTTTAAACCAAGCGGCTAAAATCTACAAGGAACAAGCCGACAAGTGGCAATCTCCTCAAAAAACATTTCATGTCGGAGAGCAAGTCTATTTCTCGACTAAATATCTAAGATTAAAGCTACCCTGTAAAAAGTTGGGACCAAAATTTATTGGCCCTTTCCCCATAGTAAGAATCATAAATCCTGTCACAGTTGAGCTTAGGCTTCCTCGGCTTTTGGAAAGGTTCATCCAGTATTCCACTGTAGTTTACTAAAACCAGTGACAGATTCAACCTTGAGACCAATCCCTTGTAAAGCACCAGCTCCCATTCTAGTAGAAGGGGAGATCCACTATCAAATAAAATGCATCCTTGATTCTAGATTGCATAAATGGAAGTTACGGTATCTAGTGCAGTGGAAGGGGTATCCCTTGTCAGAGGCTACCTGGGTTAAAAGTAGTGAAGTAAAGGAAAGTTTCATGATAAGCACCCCCAGAAGCCCAGAGAGCCTCCAGTACATAACTGATGGAAAGATCCCTAATGTATCTATACTTGTTTTGCAGGAACTTCTTTTTCTTTAGGGGGGGGTCCAACTGTCAACTTCTGCAATGAACATGATGCTATCTTTGTCATTCATTCTCAGTTGCCACATAAAGAGAAGGGGGGTCAAGTTGTTTTTACTTTTATTAGACTAAACCTAGAAAGAAACATTCTCATCAGACCCTGAAGGCGGAGAGAACTGTCAGGAAGACCGCCAAATGCGTTTATTGGAAAATGTGATCAGTAGCATAATAAAAGGGAGGGAATTGTTACATTTAATTACTTTGAATCTCTGGGGGAAAGTTTAGAGTTGGTTTCACTTTTGATCGTGCCAATATTATGTATCCAATAAATATGTTCTTTGAGGAATTCTCAAGCCTCAGAGTTCTACTTTATTCGCTTTCATTAGTCAGAACCTTGACAAATAGCATTTAGACTTATACACAGCTTCATAGTGCTTTACAGCATTTTCTAAGCAATTTACAGAATCAACATATTGTCCCCAACAATCTGGGTCCTCATTTTTATCAACCCCAATAATTTTAACTATTCATTATTTATGATTTGGGTTTTGTATCAATGACTTCCCAAAACTTTGATCAACTTATATAGTCCGTGCTGTGTGATCCAACGTACACTTCTCCAAATGGCATAATCAAGCAGGTGCATAAGTTATTTCATTAATGTGAGAGTAAGGAACACACACATGTGTGTATGTGCTCAGAGAGAGACAGAGAGAGACAGAGAGAGAGAGAGANCCCCCCCTCTCTAAGCCCTCTTCTCCTGAGAGCTTTATATGCCTTGGGTACAAAGGTCAGCATTCAGAATGTATGGCTAGGATTTAGCTGCTGCATCTATTGATTTATTACAATGGTTCTCTGCATTGCTCTGAAGCTGCTTCTACTCCTGTTCTGTAAACAAAACAGCAGAAGCTAAAGGAATACAGACCACATGATTTTTCACACACAAATCATCTACTCATAATGCAATGCCAAGAGAATAAAAACTGGACATATCCACTAGAGCAGTGATGGCGAACCTTTTAGAGACCAAGTGCCCAAACTGCAACCCAAAACCCACTTATGCATCGTTGGGTGCCGGTGTGGCCAATTGGCTGGGTGTGGCCAATTGGCTGGGTGTGGCCCATTGGGTGGGCATGGTTGCGGTGGTAACGGCAGACTGGGTGGGACTAAAAAGTTCAATCAATCAATTCCAACTTTGCAAGTTCTTTTTTTCCCCTGCGAGAAGTTGAAATTGACTGATTGATTGAACCTTTTTTTTTTTTGCACACGGCAGCGGGGGCCTAAAGTGAAAAGGTTTTATAAAACCCAGCTGAAGGCCTAGGACTGGGGCAACGGCGCGCGTGCCCACAGAGAGGGCTCTGAGTGCCGCCTCTGGCACCCGTGCCATAGGTTCGCCACCACTGCACTAGAGAGAAGTTCCCTGAGCATGGGTTCTGGCATGAGTCCAAGAGCTTGGAAGACTAAAACTCTGGTCCCAGTGACCGACCCAGTTTGGATCCTATAGAATAAAAGCCGGTGAAAGTCTGTGATTTGGCTTATAGGGTTACTCTTTTAAAATGTGTGAGTTGGCAGTTGAAGGTAATTTGCTAAAATTGTGATTTTGTTTTAAAAAAAGTGTTATTTTATTCTGTTTATGCCTTACATTAGGGGAACAAAATGGCTTTCAGTGGAATGACTCATACTTTTTTCATTAATATATTGCTGTCCCATGTGTATAAACTGAGCTATACACAGAAGCAATGTTACAACATTTGTGTGATGTTTTAGTGGGAAGAACTGAAGCAATGCACAGAGGCCAAATATAGCTGAATTTATGAATCAATTAATGTAGATCTCCAAATTATATGAATTAGAGTGAGCCAGCTCAGTATGCTCAGCACACATAACTATTTTATTATAACATTCAGCCTTGTTGATTTAAAGAAAGGCATATGTCGGAAGTACTCTACATAGAATTATGGATACTATACAGAAAATTTCTCCTTTCTCTCCCATCAAAGTAAAACCTGGAATGAGCCTATTAACCTCAACATTAGTATATAGATAATGTGAGGTATTAAAGAGTTCATTTGGTGGATGCTGCCCTCTCTGTCTTCCTTGTAATTACTAATACTCCGTTTCTATTTGTGTCTTATTCCTACTTGCAGACTTAAAATATTCATCTTGTATTCTACTTCTTCTTATAAACAAACAACTTTTGTTCTCTCTGTCTTTTTTAGGATTTGATACCTATTTTACGTCCCGCACATTGGAAAACAATAGAAGAAATGTATGGTTTGCAGAATATTGGGAAGAAAACTTCAATTGCAAGTTAACCATTAGTGGGTCAAAAAAGGAAGACACTGATCGTAAATGCACTGGTAATTTCATTCTCATTCTGCTTTTTAAATTTTTTTTTATTTGACTTGCATGGGAATGTCTGTGTGATTGTTGCGAGGAAACACATCTAGACTAAAAGTGAAAAAAAGGAGTGAATTAAAAAGGAAAATGAAATGAAAGATATAACATGCAAAAACAGGACAAATAATTAACTAAAATACATTGATTCCCTTTATCTTGTGATAATTGATATTATTCAAAGGGGGGGGGTTGGCTCAAGAAAAGGAGGTACTTTTTCAAGGTTTATTTATAGTTATTGTATGGATAGTGCACTCTTTATAGTTACAGGACTATGAACTAATGGTTCATCTTCTTATCCTGAAACTGAAATATCCCTTGTGCATCTTATTGTAATTGTGATAATGATCCTACCAAACAGGTGCACAACTTCTCTTCATTAAAGGCCATTTCTGATCTTTCAACGATATGCCAGGTGGATGAAGCAAAGACCTCATACATTAAATGTTGTTTCAATTCACTGAGATCTCAGTTCATTAAAGATGCATCTTTAACTGTGCTGGGCTGGTTGGGAGCTGCCCGGTGTTTGATAGAAGCTGGGCAACTGCATAGATATTTTAAATATAATGAATAAATAAAATCAATAAGTCTACTCTCCAATTATGTATCTGAATATTTTCAATGAAATCAAGAATTACCATTTCTACCAAGCTTCAGAGGATCTCTGGGAGTTGTGATGTAAGAAACTTACTACCTTAGGTTGTTCTCTTTTTTAACAGAAAGTGTTTTGAAGGCAGAGATCTATTCAATAAATGAATGTCAGGATAGGTAAGTTGAGAGCAAATTAAAATGAGAGCAAATCCCACCCCCTACCAGCACTGATGATGTTATCTAGTTTGGGTAATGAAATGTCTACAATAGGGGTGTCAAGCTCTCAATGTCACGTGACGTGTCGCGATGTATTGTGACTTTTTTTCCATTGTCGGCAATGGGGTGGGCGTGGTTTCACCATGTCACATGCAGCCCGCGAGCCGGCAGTTTGACACCCCTGGTCTACAACAAAACAACCAAGCTTAGAAAGCATTAAGTACTCATCGTTTCAACTCTGAGCTACAAATATTCTCCTGTATCAGCAAATCTACACTTTTTGTTTTCCAAAGTGAGAATGGGTTAAAGATGTTCAATGAATAGTTATGAGTAACCTTTTCTTCTATGCATTTGTCTGATCTTCTTGTTTGTAGCTATCTTGGCTGGAGGCCAGATGGATACTTGAAGCATATGAGTACTCAAGTACTATAATGTTTAATTCAGCAGCACTTCCTGGAGGTAAAAAAATACAGTCTAAATATGCAGATTTTTTTCTGCAAGATTATTCTAAGGGCATGATCATTTCAACGTAGAAAACAGACAAAAATTGTTCAGAAATCTGGAAGACTTCAGGATTACAAAATCTGGCAGGATATCTAAAAGGTGATAATCCTGTAAAATTAAGGTAATTGCTGTATTTGTATAAAATAACTGGTGGGATGGCTTGTGATTACTCAAACTGCAAAAGCAGAATAAAGATAGCTGGATGAAATTAAGGAAAGCAAAAAAAACCCCCTTAAAACTAGATTCTTTTTAGATGTCTTCATGGAGATTTTGCCTTGATTGCTAAATAATAATAATATAGTTTGAATATCTAAATGACTGTGAGACCAACTATATTTATATTATTATTTAGTAAACAAATACTACTACTTTAAAAAAAAACAAGCCCAAAATATATGCAATACCAATAGTCTTTGATTTATGACCACTTATTCAGCAATTGTTCAAAGTTACAACTGTGTTGAACAGTGGTCATGTGATCATGATCTTTGTTTATGTAATGGATGAAATAAACACCCCTTTCCCTTTTTCTCTGCATGGAGAAGGACTACTTCTCTCACCTCACCTGATGCATTTGTTTGCACAATGCTAGTGAACTGAAAGGGAGGATGAATCTCTTTGAAAGTCTGGTATCTAGATATTATTTGAGGATTGCTAACTCACATGTAGACATGGGGTACTGTTTCTTTGCTGGGGTTTGGATTCCTGCATTCAATTTGATAATGATCTCACACACCTAATTTGGGTGGGGGGAAGGTGAGACAGCTATCTCTTTCTCCCCAAATACATCTGCAAAGTGTACATATTTTTCTGGCAGTGCTGGTCTTCCCTTGTTCTGCAATGGAGTTGGGATGGGGGAGAGTTGGGATGGGGGAGAGTCAGCTTTCAAGTGATATTGTTGGAATGTAGGTGAGGGAAATGAAAGTGTTTCTTGCTTCCATCGTATAACTGAGTAAGCTGAAGCTGCTATATTCCCAGGATTATGGGTACTTGTAAGAAGACAGTTACATAAAGTGGTAAGTACTCTGTGTGATCTTTGAGGAACTATGTGTAGGAATCATCCTGCTTTTTGCAGCTGCCTATCAATACTTCCAACAGTCAGTTTCTTTCTATGGCTTGAGTAGGCAACTTTAGTTTCTGTGCTGTTTCTGAATCTAAGACATTAGAGTTCAGAGTCTACAGGAAGAGCAGAAATCTCCACCTTCTGCCTGGAATCTGAAGTAACAATAAGAGGGGTAATGAAATATGCTTGGCTGTTCTCAGTTGCCTCAAATGGTGGATCCCCCCCCTCCTCAGAGCTCTGAGAAGGGAGGCTAGTAAAGTTTCCCTGAGATATTGTCCGGGACTGAACTGGACATTTGTTAGTCCCATGCTTCACTGATTTGCAACTTTTATATCTTATTGTTATGACCATCACTGGTGCTTTTACTGGCATGATCTGGCTACATTGCCAGATCATGACCTATGGGGAGTTACAATAAAAGCATAGTCCTTGATCTCTTATTTTGCTTCTCTCTGGGTGCCAGTGATCTCCTGGCTACCTTGTTTTGCATGGGTTCTCCAATGTTGTATTCCAAAGAGGTCATTGGGAGGCATGACAGGCTGTAAGTTTCTTTTCTCCTTCCCAATTCTTCCTTGTTTCAACCTTTCCAGTCAGGCATGTATGATTACACAACATTGATAGAGCCCTTCCAGGCTATTTGAGGTGCCTTGTCTCAGCTTATCTCTCAGGCCATTGGCCAGCCTTTCTCTGAACTGGTCAATTAGGGCTAAAATCATTTCACTCTACATCTCCAACAAACAATGCCGTTACTCTTCCTTGTCTCTGGTTGAGCTTCCAAATCTGTGAACTCTGTATAGGATCCCACAAGTGTCCTTTAAGTTTACTCGTGAAGCCTTGATAGTTGTCTAGCACTGAATCATTCCCCTCAGTGAATAGTATTGCCCACTTAGCAGCTGTTTCCTTCCCGAGCCTGAGTACAAAAGTCATTTGGGTACAATCAGTGGCAAATTCCAGCCATAAACATTTAATACCAAGTGACAAATGGAATTGATGGAATTGATCCTGGTTCCCTCCAAACTTGTCTAGAAAGTTTCTATGGGAAGAGAAGTGCATTGGTTGAGCTGCTATCTGTTGTGCTGCCATGGGTTAAGACAAATTCTTCCCCAATTGTGGCGTTAGTTGTAGCACGGCATTCTGTAAATTGGTCATCTGTACATCTACTTAGTCTTGGTGCTGTGACAGTGCAGCTGCCAGATGCTCAGTGGTTAGTGGGGTTCCTTGAGGATGGGAAGGCTGATCTTGAAATTCCTCTTTTCAGAAGAGAGTAGGAGACTTGCAAGACTGAGGTCAGCACTTGCAGATAAACCAGATGGGAAACAAGATTAGATGAGGTAAATCTACATTATTATAAAAGTACATCAATGGAAGCTTGAAAGCTTGAAAATACCAAACTTCCTGCTGGTAGGTTCTTTTTATTTTTATATTTATTTTTTTTTTTTGTTCTGACTGTGAAGTCACTAATGGCTTCTGCTTCTCTTCTCTGATTGTTTCCGAGGCAGCATCTCTTTCCCCTTTCCCCAAAGTCACTCCCACATTCCATTATACTTGATTTTGGAGAATTTGTAAATGTTAGATGTTGACATTTTGAGGCAAGTAGTGAAAAGAAGAAATAAAAAAGTTTTTGCATGGCATGGAAGAGCCACTATCCAAAAGATGGGTAGACTGAGGACAACAATTAAAATAAATTATTAAATTAAATTAATTATGGATAATGCTATAATTACTCCACATGTGTTTAATCATTTTCCCTTTATGCCACATTAAAAATTAATCCAGTGGAAAATAGGAAACAGTCACAGGGTGCAAACAGAGCTTTGGAACAGGGTATACATCTTGGAAGCTTTAGACTATGAACTTTGCTTTTCGCAGATAGATTACAAGAATACTGGTAAATGTTTGAACTATGACAAAAAAAGAAAACTATCCCGGATTAATCCTGATATATTTCAGGACATTTATTTGTTGTCACCAATCATTAATTTGCTATCTCATGGCATAGACATAGGATCCTTTCAGGCAGAATGATAAAATGAACAAAGACTGAAGAATTCCAATTTACCTATCATTAATCACTCTGATCAGTCCTGCTGCTCCTTGTGTCTCGAGCAGTAAACCAAGCAACTTTCCTATCAGGTATTTATCATGAAGCAGAAACTTTGGAGTGTTTCTTTCACAACAAGCCAAAGTCTAAAGACAAGAATAATATAGGATTTCAAGCACTTTAATATCCTAGCGTATACTGTTCTGTGTGAATGTGGCAAGCCATTGAAAGAATTCTACGAGTGGCCTATAACAATTGACCACCAGCCAAACTGGACTGATGGATTAAAGACACAAGTGACCTTTCAAAATCCTCCAACCATTTCTCAGGAGTCTTAAGAGTGATAGGAGGATCATGACTAGAAAACATAACAGAATACATTTTCTTGGGAGTTTCTCTTTGAGTTTCAAAAAACATTAAATATGTCTAAGAATATTACTTTCCATTCAAAAAAAATTCACAGATTTTGAATTTTTGTGGAATTCAATTTTAAGGAAATTTTCATGGAGTTGCTTTTTTGACAGATTGAATGAGAGAGTGCAGTTTTG